TTTTGGAACCAGGGATTGAACTCAGGCCCTTGTGCTTTCTAGGGAAACACTTATTCTACTAAGCCATCTCCCTGGCCCCATAAAATTTTTTTAAAGGACTAGGAGTGTAGCTCTGCAAAGGCTGTAGGTATAGTCCTCAATGCCGCAAAAAAATAAAATGGCATTTTATATGTTCTGACTGGATACTATGGATGCTATTGATATCATGTACTGTCATTCAAAATAGTATATATGGTAAATTGCAGGTGATGACAACAGAATGTTCAAAAAACTCAAAATTGAGTTTCTCAGAGATGTGGCAATTTGGTCTAAGAGTATCAACATATAGCATTCTGTTTGGGGTTTTTGTTTTGGTTTTGTTGTTGTTGTTGTTGTTGTTGTTGTTGTTATTGTTTTTCAAGATAGAGTCTTGCTTTATAATAAAGTTCAGGCTGGCCTTGAACCCCCTGCTTTGACCTCAAAAGTGCTGGGATTACAAGTGTGTGACACCACACCCAGCTAGTGGTCTGGTGTTTTTTGTTTTTGTTTTTGTTTTTTATTTGTGTGTGTGTGTGTGTGTGTGTGTGGCCAGCTCAGCCCACCAGGGGGCAGGGCTGGCTGACATGTGGTGCTGGGAGATTGAACTGTGGTCCCTGTGCTTTGCTAAGCTTGTTCTAAGTAGGTGCTTTAGACCACTGAGCCATCTCACCAGCCCTAGCATTCTGTTTTGAATTTATGTTAATCTGGCATCACAGGCCAGGGAGATGGCTCAGTAGACTAAGTGCTTGCCAGGCAAGTGCAAGGGCATGAGTTCAGTCCCCAGTTCTGCCAGAAAAAAAAACTTATTTGGGGGCCAGGGAGATGGCTTAGTAGAGTAAGTGCTTGCCTGGCAAGTGTCAAGGCCTGAGTTCAATCCCTGGTTCTACAAAAAATCAATCAATCAATCAATCAATCAATCAATCAATCTGGCATCACAAATAAAGATACATAAGGACAGCCAGATAGCTCAGGGGACTAAAGCATCTGCTTAGACAGGCACAGGGACCAGGGTTCCATCCATGCCGGCCCTACCCCCAGGGCGTGCTGAGAGGGCAACTGAGACTGGGCTTGGTGGCGAGCGCCTGTAATCCCAGCAGTTGGGAGGCTGAAAACAGGAGGATCACTATGAATCTGATCTGTGTAGTGAGACCCTGTAGACCCAGTTCTACATACATAAAAAATAAAAATAAGGGGCCGGGGAGATGACTCAGTAGAATAAACACTTCTCTGGCAAGTGCAAAGGCCTGAGTTTAATCACCAGTTCACCAAAAAATAAATAAAAATAAAAAGATGCATGCTTTCAAGGGACGAGCTATTTCTTGGCTAACTGAAAATCTTGAAGTTATTCCACGGTAAATGCTTGGTTTTCACTTTAAATCCACATATACTTTTTTTTTCTAACAAGTTATTTACCATTAAGCATTAATAATGAACAAAGTGGTGGGTACACACCGTTGGCCCTCTGGGAGGCTGGAGACAAAATTGCAAATTTGAGCCAAGTCTGAGCAAGGGAGTGACTTTGTGAGTTCCTATTTTAAAAAGGCTGAAGGTGTAACTCAGTAATAAAACTCTGGCTTGATCACCAGCACTATAATATTGACAGTCATAACTACTAAAATGGAGATCTTTCCATATTTATATGTATATTGTACCTGTGTAGGGCAGGGATAATTTATGTTATTTTCACCATTAAAAGTAGTTGTTATTGTTGGACTGGGGAGATAGCTCGGGGGTCTAAGCACCTGCCTGGCAAGCACAAGTAGCTGGGTTTGATCTCTAGTACCACATCCTGTGCCAGCCCCGGAACCCCAAGTACAGTGCGCCAGCCACCAAAACTGGTGTGGTGGCGCATGCATATAATCCCAGTGCTGGGGAGGCTGAGACAGGAGGATCTCTGAGTCTGAGCTACTTAGCAAGACCATGTACCAAATAAAAGATTTTTTTTTTTTAAAAGTAGTTACTATTGTTGAACAAGTAGATATGCTTATAATACAATTACTCTGGAGACTGAGGCAGGATTGTGTGTTTGAGCCTGACTTGGAGAATTTAATGACTGAGACTCTGAAAATAAAAAATTTTTAAAAATACCAAGGATGTACCTCTACTCTATATGAAAGCCCTATATTCAATCCCTAGTACCTGGTCCCACCCAAAATATGCTATGAATATTTGTATGTTTTTGTGTGAATATATATTTTTTAGTTTATTTTGGATGTATGTCTTCAAATAGAATTGCTGGCTCATGTGGTGGCTCTTAACTTGAGTGAAGAGCTGGACATTTTGGTGCTCTCCTATAATCCAGCACTCAGGAAGCTGAGGCAGGAAGTTTACCACAAATCCAAGGCCAGCCTGGACTACATAGAGAGTTCAAGGACTGAGCTATGAAGTGAGACTTGTCTCAAAAAACCAGTACGTACGTACGTACGTACGTACGTACGTACATACATACATACACTTCAGTGAAACTCCCAGAATTTTTCAAAGTAACACCTAGGAAAGAAGTTCTTGTTTCTCTGCATTGTTGCCTTTATGTTTATTGCTTTAATACTGTCATGTTTATTAAAGCCATCCTATTAAGTGTAAAGTGATATGTGTTATCATTTAATTTGTATTTACTTAATATATAGTGATGAGCATCTTTGAAGTATTTGCAAGTTAAAATTATAATCTATACTATACTGTTTCTCTCCAGATGATGGAAATAAAATCAGAAACATTATCAGCATCAGAAAAGAGGAAAAGGAGTATTGTAGGAGAAGAAAATGAAAGTAAACTATATAGATCATTAAATACATGTTTAGAAAATATAGAGTGTGTTCCAGAAAAAAAAGAAAAGACTTTAGAACAAGTTCCTATAGAATGTAGCCCAGATAGGTCACTGAACAAACAGAGTGTGAATTTCCCTTATTCTGAGTCAGCCATAGCTGATGAATTTCAGAAGCAACTTGAAGACCAAAAATCAGAAGACTCCTGTATGCCAGTTGTGCTTTCTGCAGACCCAGGTACATGGCCCCGAGTTTTGAATATTAAGCAACGGGTTTCTCTTGTTGAGAATGATCCACCTCAAGTAAGAAATGTTGACTTTCCAAAAGACAACACAGGGAGGAAGTTTTCCGAAACTTACTATACACGAATTCTCCCAAGTGGTGAAAAAACTACTAGATCCTGGTTACTTTATTCAACCTCTAAAGATTCTGTGTTTTGCCTATATTGCAAACTCTTTGGGGAAGGAAAAAATCAACTGAAAAATGAGAACGGGTGCAGGGATTGGCAGCATTTGTCACATATTCTTAGTAAACATGAAGAAAGTGAGATGCACCTCAACAATAGTGTTAAATATTCAAAATTAAAATCTGATTTGAAAAAAAATAAAACCGATGAAGCTGCAGAACACAAATTATGTGAAGATAAAAGAAATGATGATGTCCTGTTGTGGTACACATAACGTACCTAATTTAGTTTCTGTCAATATTCAAGATCTGTCCCATGAACCAGTATCCTTCTGTTGTGACAGTAATGAGTACAACAGTTCACTAGCAGTAAGTGTAATAACATAAATAGTAAACAGTGTTCTTATTCCAAATGTAAAATTAATTGAATTCAAGTCATCTCAAATTTTAGTAAAGGCAGTTTTGTAATATTTTTAATTTGTCAGTGCTTCTTGCAATTGGTGATTGAGAACTACTATTTAAGAATTTTAATTATAAAGGCCAGGGATATAGCTCAGTAATGTAAGCACCTGCCTGGCAAGTGCAAGGTCCTGAGTTTGATTCCTGATACCGCAAAAAAAAAAAAAAAAAAGAGTTTTGATTAATATTCTGCATACTACAAAACAGGTGTCAGGTGTAGTGTTGCACTCCTGTAGATCCATCCTGAGGCAGGACTCCTTTGAATTTGAGGCCAGTCTCAATTATGTAGCAAAAACCCTGTCTCTAAAAAAAGAAAGCAAAAGAAGGAAAGACTTGCCTTTATTAATACTGATTGAAAAGATACTTTCATGAACATTTCAGCATTATTAGGCTTTCAAATGGTTTTAAGAACAAAAATGAAAATCTAGAACTACAGTTTTTTGCTATTAAACCAAATACTTGTGATTTACTTCTTTTGAGCAGAACTGTTGGCAGGTTGATGGTGTTGAAGGAGATTGAATCCAAAGTTTTTGCACTGAGCTACGTTACTACCCCTTTTTATGTGGTTTGTTTATTTCATTTGGTATTTTTAAGGCAGGGTCTCTATAAGTCAATAAATCGCTCAGGTTTGGCTCAAACTTGAAATCTTTTGTGCTTCAGCCTCCCCAAGTGCTAGGATTGAAGGCATATACCATGGTCCCTGGCTAGAGCAAAATATTTCTATTTGAGCAAAAAAGCATTGTTGTATTAAAGGATAATTTGCATTTATTGATTTTATATTTTTGTTTTAATTTAATTTGTAAATGTTATGGCTTTTATTGTATTAAAAACTATGCATAAAGAATATATGCTTACTCTTATATTGGTCCAAATATTAAAAAAAAATAAAATAAATTAAAAATATATTGTTAACCTTCCAGCTTTGTGCTTTGTTTTTCTTTTTAGCCAGGGATTGAACTCAGGACCTTGGGCTTGACAGGCAGGCACCTACCTATGCCATTGAGCTATATCCCCAGCCCCTGTGCTTTGTTTTTCTGTGCAAGGAAACTTTAGAAATTATAAATCTAAATTTTTTTTTTAGATGTTCAGCTAGTGTCCTCATCTTTATGAATTTAGTAATCTCATTTGCTTCTGATTTCAGTTTTATCATGTACTAAATTTTACAGATATTTGGGCTTCTTTCTTTTCAGAGCTTTTCCTGTTAAAATGGCATATCAATGCCTGAAGCAGAGCTAGGTGTGGTGGTGCATGCCTATAATCCTAGCACTCAGGAGGCTGATATGGGAGGATTGCCACAAGTTCAAGGGTAGCCTGTGCTCCATGAGTTCAGTGTCAGCCAAAACTATGTATCCGTGTCTAAAAAAACAAGATGAATGACTGAAGAATATACTTCTCTAGATAGGTTTATACTAGTAACACCTGTACACTCAGTGATTGCAGTACATAAGAGAGTATGTGTGTGTGGTACTGGGGATTGAATTCAGGTCTCTGCACATGCTAGGCAAACACTCTGCTACTAAGCTATATCTCTCACCCTTAAGATTATTTTCAGAATACCCACAAAAGTCATTCTTATTAAATTCTAGCCATTCTATGTCTTGCTAACTAGATTATTGAATCTTTTAGACTTGGAGCTGAGTATAGTTTAGGATGCTCCAAGCATCCATGGTGTAAGAGGGGAGGCTAGAGAACATCAGCTAGGTGTTTTTTTTTTTTTTTTTTTTTTTTTGGCGGAACTGGGGGTTGAACTCAGGCCCCTGCACTTGCCAGGGAAGCGCTTATTCCACTGAGCCATCTCCCTGGCCCTTGTTTTTGTTTTGTTTTTAATAATATATTTGGTACAGAGTCTCACTGCAGTTCTGACTCCGGGATCTTCTGTTTTCAGCCTCCCCTGCACTGGGATTACAGGCATGCACCTCCATGACCAGACTTGGTGGCCAGCTCAACTCTCCTTGGGACAGGGCCAGTGCAGTATGGTGCCAAGGATCGAACCCTGGTCCTGTCAGCTAGGTTTTAAAGTTTCCCTGCAGGGGCCAGTGAGATAGTTCAGTGGACTAAAGTGCCTGCTAAGGCTAGCGCAGGGACTGCAGTTCTATCCCAGGCACCACATGCTGCACCAGCCCCATGTGGGGGAGCCTGGAAACAGGATTACTGAGTCCAAGCTGTGTAGTGAGACCCTGGAACAACCAAATACATTTAAAAAAAAAACAAGTTACTGCAGATGAATGTGCCAGTTGTTTTATGAAAACCAGTCAAATTGAATGATCAATTTCTTATGTGTTGTATTTGTATTATTTGTTTTTGTTTTTTTTTTTTAATTTTTATTTGTGTGTGTGTGTGTGTGTGTTTGTGGCCAGCTCAGCCCACCAGGGGGCGGGGCTGGCTGGCATGTGGTGCTGGGGGATTGAACCAAGGTCCCTGTGCTTTGCTGAGCTTGTTCTAAGTAGGTGCTTGAGACCACTGAGCCATCTCACCAGCCCTGTATTATTTGTTATGTGAGCAAACTCATGAAATCAACTACTTGCTACTCAAGAAAATTTGGTAAAAGTACTAAATTGAGAAAACAAAATTTGATCTTCAGCTCCTACTTAAAGGGGCCATAAAGTCTATATATTCTAAGGAGTTAAATGTAAAAGATCCAGGAGATTCAGGATCAAGCTGATAATCTATGTATTCACTATAAATCTAAATTTGAATGTAATGTTCATAATATGACGCTCAAGAAAAGATAAATTAGAAATTCAGAATGTAAAAAAATGTAAATTTCTTTTGGGGAAATAGCTTGGTGGTCTAAGCTCCTGCCTGACAAGCACAATGACCTGTGTGTGATCCCCAGTACTGCATACCAGGCCGGCACCAAAACCTGAAACCAGGCATGGTAGCACACACCTGTAATCTCAGTGCTCGGGAGGCTAAGATAGGAGCACTAGGAGTCTGAGCTGTGTACCGGAAACCTGTATTCACTAAAAGTAAATTAATAAAATAAAAATTAAGTTTCTCTTCATAATGTTTTTTTTTCCTTTTCCAGTTTTATGTTTACATGGTAAAGTTAATACGTAGTCATCAAAAAGAAAGAATGCGTAGTCATTCTAACCAAAACAGAAAAAAACAAATAAACATCCTGCTTGCTATTCCTTTTTTTTCCCAGGGAACCGGGGATTGAACTCAGGCTCTTGTGCTTGCCAGGGAAGTGCTTATTCCACTGAGCCATCTCCCCAGCTCTCTGCTTGCCATTCTTAACCTTTCCAGCTACAGAATTTTTCTTAATTGTTTTTCCAGTTTTCTAATTTGAGAAAAGGCAGCTCCAGCTAATAATTTAATACCAAGATTTAGGACAGTCTTCAGAATAACAGCCCTCAAGAAATGGTGGTGCCAATGTATACTGGGTTTTTTGTTTGCTTGGTTTTTTGCAGAACTAGGGCTTGAATTCAGGCCCTTTGCTTGCCAGGCAAGTGCTTATTCTACTGAGCCATCTCCCTAGCCCAACCATTGGGGTTTTTTTGACCTACACATGGTGATTTTTTTTCCCCACAACCTTCTAACTTAAAATTTCTTGGGCTTCTTAGTTCTGTGAACCAAGAAGAGTTGCTAACAGTCTATTTTTTAAATTTATTATTTTTTAGATGGCCTCACTATGTTGCCTACACTGGTTTCAAACTCCCAGACTCAAATAATCTTTCTGCCTTAGGCCTCCAAAATACAGGCACAAAGCCCAACTCACTTTATGCCTCCAATCCCTGACCTTTTTATCACCAAGGACCAGCTTTGTAGAAGACAGTTGTTTTACAAACAAGAGGGGAGAGAAGGGTAGTTTTATGTTGATTCAAGCATACTGTTTATTGTGCACCTTATTACATTATATAATGAAATAATCATACAGATGTTCGTAGTGTCAAATCAGGGGGAACCCATTTTCTTGCAGCTAGACAGTCCTGTCATGGGTAATGGGACAAAGTAACAGCTGAAGTTTGTTGCTGTCTCTGTTCTATCCTGTAATTTTATTTTGGTTGGTGTCATTGCAAAAAAACCCTTTTTCCACATAAATGGAATATTGAGAATTCATGAGGGCTTTTCAGTGCTTTTGTGACAATCTCGGAATGTTCTACCTTGAATGCAGAGATTTGAAGTTGTTTCCAACATACTTTGGAGGCTGTCATTGTTTGCTATCTCAAGGAGTTAATACTTTCCTAGCACGGACAAAGTGATTCACCAGGCTTGTTTCAGAAATGGGTCGTGGATACATTCCTTCCCACTTTGAGGGTCTTTCATGTTTGGGATGTGATGCTCAAAATCTTGTGAAAACTGAAATAGGCAGTCATGTGCCATATGGCAGAAAAGGCACTGGTTCTTTTTTTCTTTTTCTTTTTCTTTCTTTTTTTTTTTTTTTTTTTTTTTGTGAAACTGGGGATTGAACTCAGGCCCTTGCACTTGCCAGGCTTACTACTGAGCCCTCTCCCTGGCCCCAAGGCACTGGTTCAGTCTCTTTCAGAATTTCTGGGGTGTGCCCACAGCTGCACAGGTGCACGTGCAGCAGGCAGCTTATTGGCTGGCAGCATTTAGGGTCCTGTGAGGTCTTTGTGCACTGGCAAATCAGGCCCAGGATGTAAAGTGGCTATGCCTGATGGCACATGTAATGGAAGCTCGAGTGGGGTAGAGAGTAGGGGACAATAGTCAGGGGAATGGGAGGAGGAGGTGGAAAATCACTTAGAAATGGCATCCAAACAGGACCCAAGGCCCAAGTTAAAGAGGATAAACAAGTAATGTGATTTCTTTTTTTTTTAAATTTTATTTATTTATGTGTGTGTGTGTGTGTGTGTGGCCTGCTCAGCCCACCAGGGGGCGGGGCTGGCTGGCATGTGGTGCTGGGGGATTGAACCGCGGTCCCTGTGCTTTGTTAAGCTTGTTCTAAGTAAGTGCTTTCGACCACTTTGCCATCTCACCAGCCCCAAGTTATGTGATTTCATGGGCCTCTTTATGAAGCAAAGTGTGTAAAGGTTGCCATAAAAGATAAACTGGTGGGGGAAGGAGATGGCTCAGTGGAATAAGTGCCTCCCTGGCAAGCACAAGGGCCTGAGTTCAATCTCTGGTTCTGCAAAAACAAAAAGATAAACAAATAAAATACTTTATACACTACAGTGTTTGGAATAAAAATTGGGATGAGTGGGTTCCAGCAAGCAGAGTGTTCTAGTATGTGGATACCAATCTGAAGAAACAAGGAGAACTTCAAAAGGCCAATCAGGAGCAATATGCGGAGGGAAAGAACCCTGGTAATGGAGATGGTGGCAGTACCAGTGAGACACCTCAGCCTCCTTGGAAGAAGAGGGCCTAGATAGATCCTACTATTAAACATTTATGAACAGAGTTGAAGTTCAAGTAAAAAGATCACTGAAGAGCTAAAATTGTGGCTTGTTGATGCCTGGGACCTAATGATCAGAAACAGCTCTATTTTCCTGCCAAACAGAATGTGTGCTCCATTCTAACAACTATGCAAATTATAAGACATTTTGAGGAGGGTTGGGGAGATAGCTCAGTGGTCTAAGTGCCTACCTGGCAAGCTCAAGGACCCAGGTTCAATCCCCGGTTCTGCATGCTATGCTGCATAGTGAGACCCTGTACCAAAAGAAACACAAATAATAAAGTCTATGCTGTTAATGAGGTTGTAGCAGGGATAAAAGAATCTTTCAAGGGCTGGTTAGATAGCTCAGCAGATTAAAGTGCCTGCTTAGACACAGGGACCGGAGTTTGATCCCTGGCGTGCCATGCTGGCCCCACTCCTGAGGTGTGCTGTGATGGCAATTGAGACTGGTCATGGTGGCGAATCCCAGCACTTGGGAGGCTAAAAAATAGGAAGGCTCACTATAAGTCAAATCCGTATGG